GAGCAACATGCAGTTTCTCAGCCTCCGGGGGCTTGTAGTTTCCGGAGGAACAATGAAATAGTTCCTTATAGTCCACCGGTTGGCGACCTGCTCCAAAGGTTTCCTTAAACCAGCGGTCGCCAACCTTTCGGACCTCGCGGACCACTGGTTGGCGACCGCTGGTAGCGGGCAAGAGGAAAGCTGGGTCTAGGTGTGACACTGCTTCTCTGATGGAGAGACAGCGCCTGCAAGTCTTTATTTTATAGCCAGATTCCACGAGGTAAAGTAAGGGCGTGGTCAGGATGTTTACAATGTTCTCGAGGGTTTCGAATCCACTCAATTACTCGCACCTGATCAAGCTTTGTTTCTTTGCTGCACCTCCCGCAGCCCATATCACTCAGCCACGTGGGGCTACAGGTTCAGACCATAAGGTCAAGCTTACTAGGTTCAACCATAGCCTTTGGCTATAATTGCGCTGGGACTTACACGTGGCTTTGTCACGAGAGGATCGTGCCCTCTCACTAGTCCCAGGCCTGAACCTGTCCAAACGCTGTAGCCGCTCGCCACAGGGAGCATGTAAAAGGTGACAGGACCCAGTTGGGAGCATCCTGGAAGGCTTCTCTGAGGAAGTGGCATGTGGTGCAAGATTGGAAGGCTGGTTAGAAGTTGGCCAAGATAAAATTAACACGAAATAGTAGTGGTCCCTACCTTCTCAGAGTGGTTTATGGTTTGCATCAGGTTTTCATAAACATCCCATTAGGTCCCATGAAATATCCCTGTATTTGAGATGAAAGGAGCTCAGAGAGTTAGAGTGACTGTCCTGGGTCACACAGCCAGTGAGGGCACCAGAGCCAGATGGCATGATTCTGAGTCGGGAGAATTTCCACCACCTCACACTGGCAGCTGGAGGAGGCAGGTAGGCAACCACACAGGCTATGTCCTTCCCTCTTCCCCAAAGATGACAGTCGGGATGCCAGCCCACCTGAGCCTGCCAGTCCCACCATTGGCCTGGATAAGAAGACTCGCCGGAAGTTCCTGGACCTGGGGTGAGTGGAGGAGGGACCAGAGCCAAAGGCGTGGAGCTGTTGGGGCGCAGGGTAGCACAGTGGGCAGCACTGGCCCACCCCCCTCTTCCCTCCCCGTAGGGTCACCTTACGCCGAGCATCTACTAGCAAGAGCCGGAAGGATAAGGGCAGCAACCGCCTGTCCATGGGCAGCAGGTAAGTGGTACCCACCACACCTCAGCCTCAGCTTCTACCCATAATTCCCTGTGGGCCCGGCCCTCTCCTCGGTGCCCACACCCATGCAGGATGCTCTCTCCACAGGGAGTCGGTGGAGGGGTCCAGCAGGTCAGCGGGCTCCCCGTTCCTGCCCTTTTCCTGGTTCACAGACAGTGGCAAGGGCTCGGCGTCCTCCGGCAGCACCACCTCCCCTGCCTGCTCCCCTAAACATGAGAGCTTCAGCCCTAAGAAGTCAGCTTCTCAGGTAAGTCCATGGCCTTCTTGCCCCCATACTGGCCCTAGGGCTCAGATGACATGAGAGCATACTCCACTCTGGCTCGGGCTGGGATCAGGCATTCCTAGAGTCCATTAGTCCTCCATAAAGCCATTCGGTGGTCACTCATTCATCCATCTCAGTTTGTGCATTCACTTGTTCACTTATTCATATTCTGATCAGTTAAGTTGTTGATTCATTCATTGCTTCATCAGTTCAGCACATCACTAAATACTATGATTCCCCTAGTGTATACCCAGCCTGAGGTCTCCTCTATTCCTGCTAACTTTTCTGCCTGGCTCATTCTAGCCCCATGTCCTCCCACAGGCCTCAGAGTCATGTGGTGCCTGCCCAGCTCCTGGCTCTTGCATAGGGTGCCTGGTGCCTCGTCCAGATGGGGGTGGGTGGGTTGCGGGGACTCCCTTGAGCTGGGGTAAGCTTTCTGCTCAGCAGCATGCACGCCCTCCCGTCTAGGAATCCACCCTGAGTGATGACTCCACACCCCCCAGCAGCAGCCCCAAGATCCCGAGTGGTCCCCGGCAGGAGACCAAGTGCTCCTACCCCTACCACACGCTGTCCCAGTCTTCGGATGAGGTGAGCAGGCCCTGGCCTCTGACTCTGCCGGGTGTGCAGGCCGCAGACCAGGTCTTCCCCCCTCACTCTCCCTGGTCTCCACCCCAGTTCCTGGATGAACCTCTCCCCACTATCCACCACTGGACCAGTCAGCAGGTGGGCCAGTGGCTGCACAGCCTCAACCTGGAGCAGTATGCCGCCGAGTTTGCCGCACGGCAGGTGGACGGGCCGCAGCTCCTGCAGCTGGATGGAAGCAAACTGAAGGTGGGTCAGAGCCTGAGGCAACCTTCAAAGATTGGGTTCCCCTACCCTGACCTTGTCACTCCTACTGCCCTAACCTCTGACGTCTAGGCAGGGTCCCTGGCCTGATCTTTGTACCCTGAAAGTGAAACTGAAACCCAATTCTTTAGTTTGACCTTCAAGCTCCAGGCCTTGACCTTTAGGGCTTCATCTCATCGAACTCTTGACTCTGATGAGTCTCCTGGTATCGCGGGAAGCAGGCCTCTCCCCTGATCACCTTGTCTGCTTCTCAGTTGTGGAGGCGGGTGGTAATGGAGGGGGATCGGGAGGGGCCTGATGGCTGTGCTGCGAGGTTCTGGCCTGTTTCCACCCTCTGCCAAGTTGCGTGGGGAAGGAGTGGGGAGGAGCACCCCCCGGGAAGTCTCTGGAGTGGGAAGGGGCCTCACCAACTGACCAGCTGTGTGACCTTGGGCAAGTTGCACCCCATCTCTGGGCATCAGGGTCATGGCCAGGCTGAAATTCTGAGTGGGGAGTGGGAGCCAGGGATTATGGGAAGTGGAGGATGGTGGGGGCTGGGGTGCTGGTAAAGGGCCTGGTACTCCCCACCCTCTTCTCTCCCAACTACTCCCGTTTCAAATTCTTGCCCTGAGGGTTCTGATCCACTGGCAGGTCTGGGAGGTGGAGGCTACACTTCAGAGAGGACAGGTGGAGCTCCGGGGAGGGCACACCTGGACACACAGAACCTGGGGGTGGTTCTGGGGCGCTTTCCCTCACTCTCAGCTCCTCCCCCAGAGCCTGGGGCTCAGCAGCTCGCATGACCGGGCACTGGTGAAGCGGAAGGTGAAGGAGCTGGCAGCGGCCGCTGAGAAGGAGCGCAAGGCCCAGGAGAAGGCTGCCCGGCAGCGCGAGAAGCTCCGGCGCCGGGAGCAGGAGGCCAAGAAGAGCTAGAGGAGAGCGAGGCAGGCATGGCACCCAGGCACGGGCAGCCGCCGCTGGGCGGGCACAGGCTCCCGCGGGGAAGTGGAGCCTGGGCGCCAAGCTTGGGCTGGCCCGGCCCCACGGCCTCAGGGGTACATGCCCTCTCTCATCTTGTCACTCTGTCTGGACCAAGATCCCCCAGAAAGGGAGGCCCAGGGAGAGGGCCCAGTACTAAATCGCCTTCCAGGACTGGTTTGGCACAGAGTTCCTGGGGGAGGTTGCAGATCGTGGGAAGAGGGCAGGGAGGCCAGGGCTGAAGGCAGCCTGGGAGCCCAGAGGTCCCTGGGTCAGTCTGACCCTCTGTCCTCAGGCCACCGTGGTGCTGGGGCCTGCAGTGAGCTGGCATGTCTACCTGCCTGCCTTCCAGAGGCCCTGCCATGGGGCCAGGGTCCCAGGGCTGAGTCAGGTGGCTGAGCACCGGGGAGGAGTGGGTGGGTGGAGTCAGTCCTCTCGGGCTCTCCAAGGTGGCTGTGTGTGGGAGCCCTCTGTTCCCAGGGAGGCCGGTGGGCACTGCAGCCAGCTGCACTCAGGGTAGACTCCAGTCTCCTCCTTAATCGGAGAGCAGAGCAAGCAGCATGGCTGTCCGCGCCGTCTGTGCAGACTTCAGGCGAAGGGAGGATGAAACCCTCCCTCTTTTCTTCCCCTGCCCTGCCCTGCGGTCCCAATGACGAGGACACCTGACAGTCCTGCCCCTCCCGGGGCCCAGCCGGGCCTGTGTTTGTCCTGCTCTCTAAGGCAGGCCCACTCCTCCGGCTGCTCACAGAACAAACTCAGAGCTGGTGGGGACACAGGACGCCCCCTACCGATGCCTGTGTGGGACTGAACTGGCGAATCCTCACCTTAGCCAGGCAGAGGCAACTCTGGGTCCCCTGGAAACTGCTAGATTGGCAGGGTTTGTCAGCCCTCCCTCACCTGGAAGACAGTGCAGGCTCTGCCTACAAGGAGGGGTGGGGCCAGAGTGTATCCCAGCAGCCCATGGATGGCACCTGTCCTTGTCGGGAGGTGCACTCAGGGCTAGAAAACTAGCCCAGGCTAGAAAACTAGCCCAGCTTCTGGAGCACTGGCCAGTTTCCAGTGGGGCTACGGGGCCTCTGACTAGAAGGGGCCCCACTGGGGGACAGGACCCAGTGCATGCCGACTCCCTTCATTCCTGCCCAGGGCCTGTGGCTTGAGGGCCACCCCGTCCCTGGGACCCAGCCCTTTGCTGCTCTTTGCTCTGTGCTAGAGGAGGGGCTTCAGAGGGAAACAGATACGGGGGCCCTGGCACCACCTGGGCCCGGTGGAGGCTGGTGGGGAGGTTGGCGGGCACCCGGGTCCTGGAAACTATCGGGAGCTCTATGGGTGCCCACCTGCATGTGAAGGGGGGAGGCAGTACTCCATTTATTTCAATAAACACTTACGATGTGCCAGTGATCTCTGTCTTCCTGGCTGGGGCTGGCCTGGGCTCTGTCCTTGTGGTAACACTGAGTCATGCCCTGAGCTGTCCGGGCATCCTGAGCGTGTCATATGCTGGTCACAGGGGCTGCAGTCTGCACGCACTTGTCTTTTGTTTGTCCTGTGGATCTCCCCGCCGCTCCCCCCCCCACCCCCCCCAGGAAAGCAGCCAGGCCGAATTCTCATTGCATCTCTTTACTGTGGATGTCCCTGCCACCATCACAGCCACTGGGAGAGCACACAACTTTAACCCCCCGTGTGCTAAGGGGGAGGGTGGGGACACTGAGGGCTATAAAACTAGCTATGTACACAGAGTATTAGGGAGAACGCCACCCCAGGCATGCACATGTCTGGGCACAGCGGGAGCTGGGGTGGAGCTCAGGTGGATGGTGTGGATGTGAGGTGGGCAGGTGGGTGTGTGCATGTTAGGACGTGCAGGGAAGGGCTTGGGAGGCGGCAGAAATACTGCTGGGGCCCCCTGCTTCAAGCAGCCGGCTGGGCATGTACCTCAGGGTCCTCCCAGGTTCCTCCACTGTAGGGGTGAGGTCCTGGTAAGAACCCCTTCCCTCCTAACCTGGACCTGAAGCTCAGAGTGGAGGGTGAAGCTGCCAGACCAGGTCCTGCCCAGGGGTCCAAGGGTGCGACCCCTTTCCCCACCCACCACCCAGATCTGGGGGACGCTTTCCTACTGCTGACACAGACCAGGGCTGGGGTGCCTGGGCAGACTAAGGGGAAAAGACAAGCAGGGGCATCTGTTTGGAAGGCCAGGCTGTGGAGGGCGGTGAGGGGGACCCTGGCAGAAAAATGGCAGCGCTGGTATCAGGACTGCCATGGGGACACCCCAGCAGGTGGAGACATCCCCCAATCCTCAGGGATCTCCCACAGAGACTGGACACTGGGGAGACCACCTCAGAATCTCCAGACAGACAGACAGATTGGCACTTAGGGGTCACCACAGCCTGGTCACTGCCGTGACTTCCATAGAGACAGGAGCTGGTCATTGGGGAGTCTCCCCACCTGGGGGCAGGGGACGGGGAGGGCAGCCGTGGTGGCCGGTCCCAGAGGCAGCAAGCAGTCCGTCCTCTCAGGTGCAGAGGTGCCCTGGCCCCTAAGTGACACGGTACGTGGACGTGTTCTTGGGCTCCGTGCTGGGGACGCACCAGTCGCCGGCCTCCTGGATGGTCTGGTAGTGGCGCCAGGCTGACTTGTTGTAGACGGGCAGGCGCTCCACCGAGTCCGTGGACAGGGCCTGGGGAGCGTCAGATTCAGCCTCTCCCACTGCCCCGCGCCTTGCCCACTGCTCAGCAGTCCACCCAGGCCCCAGGGTGGGCTGTGCTGGCCACTGACTATATCAGCCCCGCCAAGTGCCAGACACGCTGAGACAACCCAGCCTGGCCCAGGGGGACCCTCAAGGATCTGTCCCTCTGTGTCTTGCTCCTGCCCATTCGAGGAGGCTGCTCAGAGGGTCTGGGAGGGAGGCTGGGCCGAGTGTTCTTGAAGAAGGTCACCAGCTCTGGGCCTCCACGTCCTCCTGAGCTGAATGACAAATTCTCTATGGCCCCTCGCCTTCCGTCTGGGTCTAACAAGTCAAGCGTCCCCAGAGCAGGGATCTTAGTCGGGACCATGGACTCCCTGAAACTGCCTGCCAGGGTGGGAGCGTCTGGGGCCTGGGGGCCTGTAGCTTTGCTCTGATTCTGTCTGGAACTGGGCAAGGGCTGGAGGGATGGAAAAGGAATCTTACACGCTCGGCAGGCAGGGGCCCTCACCTTGAGATAGATGACGGCGTCTGTCCCAAAGCCCTCCATGGAGAAGAGCTGCAGGTCACCCTGGAAGTACTTGGCATAGAGGCGGGAAATGGGGAGCCCGTACCCGAAGCCAGCCTGTAAGCGGACAGAACGGGAGTGTGATGAGGAGGCTGGCACTGCAGCGACAGGTATACTGAGGGGTGCTGAGCTGGGGTCATGCAAGGGGTTCCCAGAACTCAGATGCGGATGGGGACACAAGAAACAGGAGGCTCGGGGGCAAGACAGGAGCTATGGGGTGACGAGTCAGTCTGGTGGGGGGGAAGCTGAAGCGGCACTGTGGTGTGGGGGCGTTAGCAGGGCAAGGGGAGGAGCTAGGTCCTGGCAGCCAGGGGATCTGGACAGGTCCTGGGGCTCCTCTGAGTCCCAGTTTCCCAAACCCAGCTCTGCCTACTCCCCTGGGAATGGACAGGGAGGTGCTGAGTTGAACAAATGGTTAGTAACTTTGGGGGGAGATACACGGGGGAGGGAGAACTGAGGAAGGGTGACAGACAGACCCACAGATAGGTAGGGAGGGGCAGGCTGGGCAGAGACAGGAGGAGCAGGGGGGCCCAGCCTCAGGCGAGGTGACGGACATCACACACAGCCAGTGAGAATGGGGAGACCCTGAGAGAGAAGGAAGCGAGAGAGGGAGGGTGACAATTTGAGGAGAGAGGAAGAGACAGACAGGATCCTTTAGGGGCAGGAGGGGAGCTGGAATGAAGCCTTCTCACCAATGGGGTGCCCCCCGTGCCAGGCTGGGGGGTGGGTGCTGTGGAGTACATGTAGCTGAAGAGTTGCTCAATCTTCCTCAAGGGGACGCCCCCACCTCGGTCACTCATCTAGGGGAGATGAGACATGGGGGCTCTCCAGCCTGTGTTCCACACCCCCGCACCCCCTGACCCCCTCAATCTTCTCCTGGGTTTCCTCACCCCCAGGGTCTTCCCAAGCCCACCTCCTGGCAGGAGGGAAGTGCCTCCCCACTTCCCCCCAAAGTCAAGGGTTACATACTTTGATGGACAGGTCTTCCTCTCCCAAGGCCACCATGACCTTGACAGGAGGGAGAACGAGGCTGGATTCATGGCTTTCCACGGTCGCTCGCATGGCATTCTGTGGAGGGGAAGAGGGAAGGATGAGTGAGAGAAGCCGAGCCCTAGCCGCCTCCAACCCCACAAAGTGCCATCCTCAGCCTCCTCACCTTGAAGAGTTCAAAAAGCATGTGGTAGAGATGGGAGGGGACATAAACCATGTGAATTGGCTGTTTGGAGTCAGATGCTGCAGGGAAGTCAAGACCAATGATTAGGAAATGCATTCACCCAGCATCTAGCACCCATCACTCAACCACCATCCATTAATAAAATTAACCATCCATCGGCTCCTCAGTTCACCGAGCATTCACTCATCCATCTACCCATTCATTCAGTGTCCATTCAACCATCTATCCATATAGTACCATCCATTACACAATGTCCATCGTCCATCTATCCATCCATCCTGTCCATTCAATATCCACTAATTCCTCTATCTACTCACCCACTGTCCATTCAGCCATCCAATGGTCCTTCAGTCTATGCGTCTGTTCAAACATCTATCCTTTCCATCTATCTATTCATTCATAGAGTATATCTCCACCCTTCCATTCACCCGTTTATCTATCCATCTATTCATCATTTAAGCATCAAGTAGTATCCATCTCTCCTGTACCCAGCCTCCTAGCGTTCACCTGGACACCAGAACCCCCTGCTTTCACCCTGGGGGAGAGGGCAGGGTGCTGCCCAGGTGATGCTGACATCAGTCCCGTTTCCCAAGAATCACTGTAGCCTGGAGTTTCTTGGTGTTAGGGACTAAGCGTTTTCCCCTGGTGTCTGGCACAGAGATTTGTAGGCAGCAGGAGCTCAATAAATGTGCAATGGATCAAGGAATGAAGGACTCTCGGGCCCTGTGCTGGGCAGTGAGGACATAA